CCCGAGCACGCCAGGACCCCCGCGACAGGACCCCCGCCTCAGGACCCCCGCGACAGGTCGCCGGCCCGCGCCCCAGAGGTGTTGTGGACGCCTCGCGTGTGCGCGGGCCGCCTCGGCCCAGATCACGGCTGGTCATCTCCCGCACTCTTGTGGACGTCGGCTTCTGGAGAGGAAGCCTGCTGCCACTCTTTTCCAGATGTCTAAAATATGTTTCAAACATTTTTAAAGATGTAAAAACCATGGGAGTCCCCGGCTTTCCTGCCCAGACCCTCCTGCGGAGTCAAGATGCTCTCTTTGGACCCCACTAGAAACCTATCAGTCTTCGCTGTTAGGTAAATAATATGTTAAAACCATGGGAGGACCCGCACCCGCGACGCCCAGGACCCCCCCCCCTCGCGGCCCTCGGCAGGGGCGGGGTCGGTTTGGGTGGGGGGGGGCGGTCGGGCCCCCGTCCGCAGCAGCGCGCCCCCCGTGGACGACAGACGGATGCAGAGTGCTGCCGGCACTGCCGCCCCCCCTCCTCCTCCTCCTCCCCCTCCCCCTCCTCCTCCTCCTCCTCCTCTCCTCCTCCTCCTCCTCCTCCTCCTCCTCCTCCTCCTCCTCCCTCCTCCCCCTCCTCCTCCTCCTCCTCCTCCTCCTCCTCCTCCTCCTCCTCCTCCCTCCTCCTCCTCCGCCTCTCCTCCCCTCCCTATCCTCCTATCCTCCTATCCTCCCTATCCTCCCTATCCTCCCTATCCTCCCTATCCTCCCTATCCTCCCTATCCTCCCTATCCTCCCTATCCTCCCTATCCTCCCTATCCTCCCTATCCTCCCTATCCTCCCTATCCTCCTCCTCCCTATCCTCCTCCTCCTCCTCCTCCTCCTCCTCAGGCGTGGGCTTAGGCCGTGGGAGACATTTCCCTGCGGTGCGTTTTTGCACTGCATCATGGCACTGCCCGCCCCAGGCTCGTGCGCGCCCACGCACGAGTCGACACTCAACATACCTGCAGGGCGATCTCGCTCACCCGCCTGGCATAGGGCCCGCCGTCGAGCTCGCGCGCAGGCCAGGCGATTTCTGAAGATAGTCAAGCTGCGGGAACTACTCAATCGACATCACGGGTCTCAAGAGCCTCACATGAGAAGTGCCCCCCCCGCTGCAGACGGGAATGGCGCCCGACGAGGTAGAAGACCAGAAGTCCAGAAGGAGCCGAGATGGGCATGCATGGCGACACGTCAGTGCGGCTTCGAGGGCAACTACGCCAGCAACGATAATTGCTATCAGTGCGGTCGCGACCGTCGTGGTGTACCTGATCCAAGTTTTGTGCCACGGAAGCGACCGCCATCACGGAGACCATCCTCTCGTCCACGTGAGGGAGGAAAGGACAAGGATAAGAAACCTGACGGCGACAGCAGTGGAGCATCCAGTCCCGCTGATGGAGTCGCTCAGGCACGCCGAGCTTTGGCAGCCCTACGGAAGTGTGGCCTGGGAGATGACGCCCCAGTCGTACAGCAAGCTCGACGTGATTTGCAAGTGGCCGAGGAGCGCGAACAAGCTCATCGGACACCAGACGACATGCTTCGTAGATCCTTGGACAGGCACACCGCCAAATCCAAAGAGGCCGATGAGCTTAACCAAGCAGTTGCTGAGTTGGAGATCAAGCTTGGTGACAAAAAGTCGGCGCTCGTTCAGGCCAACACGGAGCTGCAGAACATCCAGTCTGAGGTGCACCTGGCCAGGGCCGCTGTACTCGCCGCCACCGCCCAGCCCGTGGGATCAGATGTACCGTCGGTGCAGGAAGCCATGGGTCGCCTACAGACGGTGGTGGCAGGGGCTTCAGCTGCGATGCTTGCAGGCAATTCTCCAACGATGCTTCAGACACTACAGGATCAGCTTGCACAGTTGCAGTCTGCAGTCCAAGCCATTGTTCCAGCCCCAGGCACTCCGCAGGCACACCCATGGGCACCCCTCCTTGAGATGCAGGAGGCCCAAGACGCCGTTGATGCAGAGGCCGAGATGGAAGACAGCGAGTAAGGCAGCTCTCTCCTTTGTATACTTTACGATGCCACGACTGGTCAACAATCGGGTTTGGTCATTGGACGACCTGCTTTTGTCTGAACTACCTGTGGTGGCACCCACTCCCGTCGGCACGCACGGCTCGACTCCTCAGCTCTCTGGGGCAATTGGCGGCGAGTCGTACCGACCTTCGGGACCTAGTCCTGTCGGCACGCACGGCTCGACGTTCTCGCCTCGGGGGGCGCTTGGGAGCGGGTCGTGCCGACCTTCGGGAGGCCAGCGAGCTGATACTACTGACACTACTACTACTGCTCCCAGTGGAGGGAGTGGCGTGAGGCTATCTCATCCACAGGCAGATCAAACGACATATCGATCGGCTGATACTGGGAGCGGTACGAGGCTATCAAGACTTGCAGGTGATCGACATCATGTCACAACATCTGCTCGACGCGCGCCCAGAAGGAGCAAAAGGAAGCCGCTAGCATTTGTGACTTACAATGCCAACGGCTGGACACGTCTCAGAGGCTTTCTTGAAGAAGGCGCCGCTGGAGCTCTCATTGTTGCATCTCAGGAGCTTCATGTTCGAGGGGGCCAGCGGCTACAGGCAGAAGAATGGTGCCAACGTAACGGGTGGAAGGCTTTCGTCAGTGATTGTAAAACTGGCCCTACGGGTCAGCCGATGGCTGGAGTGGGCTTGTTTGTACGACACCATGTTGGCACGACTTTCTTGGACGCCCTTCCTGGAGTACGGGATCATGTACTCGTTAAGTCGTGGTGCGTGGCAGTTTACGTTCACACGGGTCCTCGAGGAGGGTTTGTGGCAGGTAGTATCTATATGGAGCAAGGTCCTGGTCTCACGGGTGACAACATACCTCGGCTCGAGCAGCTGGGCAAGGCGCTAAGATACTATCGAGCTCCATACGTCATTGGTGGCGATTGGAACGTTTCCCCCCAGGTGCTGAGCGACAGTGCTTTTGTGGAGCGCATCGATGGCCACCTCATTGTTGCTCCGCTTGGATCTCATCGAGTGGCGGCAAATGGCACGTATACTTTTCTGGACTACTGGCTCGCCAGCGATGCCCTTGCGGCGGAGATGTCAGATGCTCGACGCGTCGAAGATTATCCGCCTCGCCCTCACTTTCCAATGAGAGTTCAAGTAGGCCCTCGGCCTCGAGCTCGCCAACTAATGCAGCTGCAGGGCCCGCGTATTTGGCCTGGTAAGCCAGCTCGCAAGCCAATTCTTTCTGAATATTCGGACGATGAAGATGAAGACGCTACCCCCTTGGGTGACTCTGGCATCGATTGGGTGGAAAAGATGCGGCTGGATGCTCAACTCGGGCCTGGTGACAATAGGTCGAGAGGAGGGCGTTTCGATTTCTTATGCCAACAGTTGTACGCAGGGGTTGAGAAGGAGTTAGCTCCGCTGTTTGACTGCTCAGACGACGACAAGTATCATGGCCGTGGACGTCAGGTCACCTATCGCAAGACCACGGCGGGAGGTGCTCTGGGCAGTCAGCAACCTGCAGGTACTACGCATTCTCGTGCAGTTCGGGCTCTACAGCATCGACTGGAAGACCTCACGCACGTAGTGGCCAAGCATGGGTGCACTCCTCTGCCGCAGCATAACATGATATGGCAACCACTTATTGACTTTGTTGGTGGTCAGGGTCGACTGCGGCGACTTACATCGGCTCTTGGCGCCAATTTGGTCCAGGAGGTAGTCTACTACATCACGTGCTTCTTCGCGCAGCCGTCCATGTACCACGTGACCTTCCTCCGCGCCCTCTGCGTCACCCTGTCCAATCTTGCTGCTGCTGAAGAGCGGCGGCTTGGCCAGGCACGAGGTCAAGG